TTTTAAATGAAAATCAAGTTAACTACACCATTATTGAAAAAGATATGCTAGAAGTAGTATTTGCTTTGAAAAAATGTTGTCCTTATTTAGTTGGTTCAAAAGTTATTATTTTTACAAATCATGCAACTTTGAAGTATTTGTTCAATAAAAATGACTCCAAACCAAGATTGTTAAGATGGGTGCTTCTGTTGCAAGAATTTGATCTGAAAATTAAGGATAAAAAAGAGTGCAAATATGGTGGCAGATCACCTTTCAAGATTAGAAAATGAGGAGATGACAAAGAATAAGCACAATATTACAAAGACATTTTTGGATAAGCAGCTAATGGAGATTAGTGAGACCTTAGTTTGCGGACATGGAAAATTATAAGGCGACAAATGTTGTGCCAGAAGAATACATGTGGCAACGAAGTAAACGCTTCTATAAAGAAGCACATTTTTATCTTTTGGATGACCCATACTTGTTTAAGAGAAGTCCTGATGGTTTACTTTGCAGGTGTGTTGTAGGTAAAGAAGCAGATATCATTATGTGGCACTGTCATAGCTCAGCATATGTAGGACACCATAGTGACGAGAGGACGGTAGAAAAAAATACCGCATAGTGGGTTTTTATGGCCTACCTTATTTAATGATTGTAAGCTATATGTGCCTACATGTCCTGAATGCAATAGGACTGGTAACATCTTAAAATTAGACTCTTAATTGGTGATGGCGGGACACATTTTTGCAACAGGTATTTGGAAAGACTGTAATGTATCAACACCATATCAGCCTCAGACATGTGTTCAAGTTGAAGAAAAAAACTGACAACTGAAGCAAATTCTGAAGAAAAAAGAGGCAACCTCAAGAAAAGATTGGTCAACAAAATTGGATGATGCCTTGTGGGCATACATAAGAGCTTTCAAAACACACTTAGGTTTCTCTCTGTATCAACTTGTGTATGGTAAAGCATGACATCTCCCCGTTGAACTGGAGCATAAAGCGTATTGGGCAGTAAAATTTATAAATTTTGATGAAAAGTTGGCTGGAAAGAAGAGACTATTGAAATTGGATGAATTGGAGGAGATGCGATTGTTTGCATATGAAAATGCGTTAATTTACAAGGAACTAACTAAAAGATATCATGACAAAAAGCTCGTAAGGATAAATTTTCATCTCGATCAACAAGTCTTTAATGTTCAACTCAAGACCGAGATTGTTTTCTAGAAAGTTGAAATCTAAGTGGTCAGGACCGTTTATGGTCACAAAAGTTTGCCAAAGTGGTGTCATTGAAATTCAAGATCCTGGTGATATGAGAAGATTTAAAGTAAATGGACAACAGCTAAAGCATTATTATGAATGGGAGATTCCGGATGAAAAAGTCTTCCTAATACTATCAAACCCCTGATGTCAATTGTCAAGCTAATGACACAAAAAAAGCGTTTCACGGGAGGCAACTCATGTATTATAACCAATCTTTGTTTTTGCAAAAAAGATTTTATATTGGTAGCAAGACTCGACTAGAGGAATTAGCATCTCGCGCATGCCTTTCTACGTCATTATCCATGTTTGTCTTTAATAAACAAATTTGTAGTTGTTTTTTTCTTCTTAAAATTATAAGTTTATAACTTTAGCACTGAACAAATGATACAAACAAGAAAAAAAGAACTTGATCATCAAGAAAGAAACTTACAACTTAAAGGTAAAGGATGAGAAAAGAATCAAATGACTTTTACTCAATCTTCAAATACCTCGTCTAGTAAAGTTTGAGCCAAATAAATTTCAGTGCTCACTTTTTTCTTTTTGAGTAAATCCATGCATTATTATTTTGTCTAGTTTGATCTATTTTCGATTTGGCTTATTTGGTTTGATTGATACACACTGAGACAATTGTTTGATTATAACTTTGAGCCTTTGTAACCACCTTGTGGTAATAGTTATATCCATTTGCTAACCACTTTGAGTTTAGTTTTTCTTTCGGTGATGTAGCCTAAAATTCCTAGCCATATGACTTAAAAGATCTTTTCTTTTCACCCTCTCTTTGGAGTTAGGTTGAAATATAGTTCTTAAGTTGTATGAAAAAAGATTAAGTTTGGGGTTGCTCTTGAAAGTGAACAAGTTCAAATTTGGGGTTGGAGTACTAAACAAAATTGGTCAAAAATTCAAAATTTTGAGGAAAAAAAAGAAGTGGAAAAAAACACTTCTTAAAAAAAAGAGTAAAAGAATAAGAAAGTGTATAATAAGAACCAAGTCTTTAGTACCGTCAAGAAGGAACAAAGGGGTATGAGAATAAAACGAGAATTAGACACCTAACTCCAAAGGTTTAAACCTACTTTCCTAAAAATATCCTACTCGAACATAAGGTAAGATATACCCTAAACAGACCTCATAAGTATGTGTTGTAATTTCTGTGATGAATTATATTAGAACATGATCAAACTAAGTATAACTTATTTTGCATGTTGATTCAGAGATGCTTTATCCATTGAGTGAGTCAAAGTGAGCTGAAAGACAGGTTGAGTACTCGTCAAAGTTTGAGGACGTTTTTTAAATTTTCCGAATGGAAGTTGGACGTTAGAACGATGGTCAAGTAATGAAAAAATTATAAGGTGATGTTCAATTAGTATTGTGCGATTTGCTTTCGGTTAAAATGTGTAGTTGCAGGCGAGTTACTTAAAGACAAGCAACGATTCAAGTTTGGGGTTGTGATGACAATCCTTCATTGCATGAATTTAGTCAAAGAATTGGATCAGAACAAATTAAAGAGGAGTTAAAATGAAGAAGAAAGACCAAAGAATAAAGACAAAATTGCTAAGTGTGAAGAAATTGGACTTAGTGAAAAATCAGGTGAAAAAGGTAGCAAAAACATGCAACTACTGAATTAATCACGCGCAACTTCGCGCGCACGGTAGATTTATATTAGCTGCATTGTGCTCGATGCAGGTCATCACGTAAGCGATGACCCCTTTTTCTGGGCTTTTTCTGACGCGTCTGATCCGTTATGAGCTCTTTTTAATAGAAATTTATGCACTTTTACATGGTTACGAAAATTGGCGGAGGAGAAGACAAGGGATTAGACATACATAGTAGCTTATGTTTGGATGTATTTCTTTTTTTGTTGTATTTTTGAACAAATGTTATGTATGATCTTGACATTTTGAATTTTTTTTAGTTAATGTATGACTTTTTACTTTCATTTTACATTAATATAACTCGAGTTTACTCTAATATAATTTGGCCTTAAAAAAATACAATGTTAAGATAATGGTACTGTTCTGAAATGATTCAGAGGGGTTTTTAGAGATGTATCTTCGAAACACTCCCGCTTTAATTAACGTATTTTCAATACCTTTTAAAGGACTTCAAAGAACATTTTGAAGATGCATCTCCTGATACACCCAAATAATAATCAGAGATGCATTTTCAAACTATGTTTTGTTCAACATGAGTTGACTTTAAAAAAAAAATGAAATCTAATGTAATATTAGATGCGTCCAGAGATGTATCTTCAAACACATAAAAAAACATATACGGATTTTCAAATGTATAGAATGCACACATTAGAGTATAATGAGTATTTCTCTTACATAAAACCTTTAGAGGCCATTCACTCTCTTTACCAACTACCATTGTTACATCATAATGTTATCACATACACTAAATTTACTGGAATTTATTTTTTTCAAAAACAAATATCTATTTGATGGATTCAAAGTTTCATTTTTTAATTCAAAATCAATTATAAATATCTATCCTTGTGATTGTGCTCCTCAAGATCTCAAATTCAAATTTTACTAGATACAATCAATTTTTGTGTGGGTCAGTCTATACAAAACTTTACTCTGATTTTAAACGAAGTCTTCGCTAATAAACGGTGGAATTAGTCCCTTTTAGATTAGTCGCGTCGCAAGACTGAATATCAAAATTTCTATTAAAAAAAAATTATAAACATTTATCGAAGCATGTAATTTGATTGCTATATTCACCACCTTCCACAACAATTTATACATGCATTTTAGTTTTTTTTTTCCTTCAATTTTATAATACTTATTTTATCTTGTCTACCATAAACGTTTATGTTATCTAAATTTCAGTTTCAATATTTATATATGTTTAAATTTAAATTTGGAAAAAGTTTGTGTTATCCAAGACAAATCTATTATACAATAAATGATCTGGCCAAAATTAATAAATACTTTTTAAATTTCTATTTATTATGATATACACTTAAATTTGAAAATGAACTTTCCTCATAGAATAAACGTGTACCAAAAATGAACCAACTAAAATCTATAGTTACGAATAACTTACCATTGCAGCTCCTTAATTAAGGATATCTATGCATACAAACATCTCCATTAGTACAATTTTAATGTATAATATCTAATTAATGACTAATTATAAGAAAATATACTCTAATTGTATTACTCCACTCCAAAATAATCGTAGTCCAAGATTTTTCAGAAACTAAAAAACTATAAACATATCTAATAAAGTTGAAATTTGATAAAATCTTCTATATTAATTATTGATTGTTAATCATGTTCAGAAATATGAAGTAAAATATAATGATGCTGCTGTTTGATTTTGACATTTTGTTACTAGAGGTGCAACACAACACAAAAATACAGTGCAACACAACACACAAACACAGTGCAACACATAACAAAAAAAAACACAACACACCATGACATTCCATCTGTTTTTGTTTTGTTGGTAACCATTCTCAAAAGAGGAGAAAAAAAACATCATTTGGCGGAAAGAATATGTGAATGAAAACAAAAAATACATCAAAAACTGATAACTTACAACTATTTTTAGGGTTTGCATGAGGGAACTCTAAAACCAAGTCACTTGACATGAATACCTGAATAGCTATTTCTTAAAATACAAACTGATACAAATGAGAGATTACCTCCCGGAACAAAAACATCCGATATCCCAGCTGATCATCTGAGAATTTCAATCGCACAACAGGATGGAAACTAATCTCTCTGCCTAAGGAAAAAAGACAATTATGTGTCATTTCCCTTTCTTTTTCTTTGTTTTCTTGCCTGTATCAACTTTCGGTGGGGTTGGGTCATTAGGGGCCAACCCTGCTTTATTTGCCTGCGGCTCAGACAATTGCTTCCTTTTCTTAGACCTTGGGGTTCTTGATTTTTCTCCAATAGTCTTCTGGGAAACTAATCCAGATTCCTTCTCTCCTTTATTTTCTGCTCCATTGTCGGTGACCTGCTGTGAAGCATTACCCGTTTCACTGTCAGTGGCCTGCTGCTTCCTTTTCTTAGAACTCTCTCCTTTCTTTCCAGCTCCACTGTCACTGCCCTGCTGCTTCCTTTTCTTAGAACTCTCTCCTTTCTTTCCAGCTCCACTGTCACTGCCCTGCTGCTTCCTTTTCTTAGAACTCTCTCCTTTCTTTCCAGCTCCACTGTCACTGGCCTGCTGCTTCTTTTTCTTAGAACTCGGGGTTCTTGATTTTTCTCCAATAGTCTTCTGGGAAACTAATCCAGGTTCCTTCTCTCCTTCATTTTCGGCTCCATTGTCAGTGACCTGCTGTGAAGCATTACCCGTCTCTCCTTTCTTTTCAGCTTTGCTATCAGTGGCCTGCTGCTTCTTTTTCTTAGAACTCGGGGTTCTTGATTTTTCTCCAATAGTCTTCTGGGAAACTAATCCAGGTTCCTTCTCTCCTTCATTTTCAGCTCCATTGTCAGTGACCTGCTGTGAAGCATTACCCGTCTCTCCTTTCTTTTCAGCTTTGCTATCAGTGGCCTGCTGCTTCCTTTTCTTAGACCTCGGGGTTCTTGATTTTTCTCTAATAGTCTCCTGGGAAACCAATTCATGTTCCTTTTCTCCTTTATTTTCGGCTCCATTGTCAGTGACCTGCTGTGAAGCATTACCCATCTCTCCTTTATTTTCAGCCTCGCTGTCAGTGGCCTGCTGTGAAGCATTACTACCTGGACTTGCTTTCATATGTGGTGAATTTCGGAAGCTCCATCGAGAATTTCCAAACCATTTGTCAACCTAAAAGTGAAAAAAGAATGGTATACTCGGAGTTGTGTGAGGAAAATGTGCTCAATCGTATGGTAAAGGAAATTACCTGATGAAATGTGAGTCCAATTTCTTGCGCCAAGCTTTCTTTTGTGGCTCGTTCGGGATATTGATTTTCTTTGAACGATTTGTAAAGCCTCTGCAAATAAATACAAGAATGGAAAGATAGTTAAATCCTAAGCAGATTGAGGCGTGTTTTGTGTCTTGGATTCTTTTTTGTTCAGTGATGTACACCCTCAGGTCACTATTATATGCAAATTTCACTTTTTTTTATTCATTCAACAATTGATGAATCTGGATTATATACGAACTAAATACATCAATTGTTGAATGAACCAAAAAAGCCTAATTTGCTTATAATAGTGACGGGAGGGTGTAATGGTTTATAGCCTTATATGCTGTCCAAATATATATGAAACTACTAATCCGACAATTATACAATTAAAAGGACTTAATGAAGCTTTAATTCAGAAAAATTTAAGCAAAACAAATGTTATTACTGTTGTTGGAAACAAATTTACTTTATTTATTGAATGTATCATGATATATATAGATAAACATGTAATCTAATAGTTCATTTAATAATAGAAATATAAAACAATAAATATAACCTATGCGGTAAACCAGGAAAGATATCTAAAATTCCCATAAAAGGACCAGTTATTAAGTGTAGTAAAAGTAAAACAAAAGTATTTTGTTATTAATTAATATCATTGCAATATAGTTTCTGTATTTCAGAAAATTCTTAACCTTCTACCTAATAAACTACAATTAGTCCAATTAAAAGATAAACCGTCCCCCCAAAATAAAAAGCTCCTTTTTGCAATTCAATTTTGCATATAGGTCCCCGAGTATATCTCTAAAGGACACAAATTGAATGAAAGACAGGGGATGACGAGTATTGGTTGAACGATATCCTGAACAGAAAACAAACTTCAAAACCAAATTCAAACAGAACTTAACAATCACCTGAACAGCAGCTTCTCCAAGTTTTTTGTATGGAGATCCGCGCTTTTTACCCCTGGAACCAGATTCCGTGCATCCTTCAAGTGTTTTGGTGGGTGAATTAGTTGTATTTTTAACTTTATGCTGACAGGTGTTCCTCTTAGCAGAACGTTTGGAATTATTTGAGGCACTTCCATTAGGTGACACTGGAGTAATTTTGCCAGTTAGTTTCTTTTTTCTACTTGGAGCATCGGTGGCAGCCCAATCTTCATCATCACTAGTTTCACTGTGGTATGTCTCCTACAATAGGAACATAGCAGTCTAAAATATTTGGAGAGGAAAAAAACAAAAGAAGGAACAATAAATATATTTAAATCCACACTCCTTCTAGAAGTCTTCGGTTCGTGCAGTTAGAAAAATGGCTGAATTTTGTTTTCTTTTACAGCTAACATGATTATTAGAGTTCTTTCATACTTAGCAGAACACATCAGCAAAATAGTAATGAAACAAGTCACTGTGAAGGTACGATTCTGGTACTGCTAGAATATAATAAATTACCTTATAAGATATTGATGATATTTTATTCTAACACATACAAGAACCGTGTGTCATTTGTCAAATTGTGTAATGTATACCCTACTTCAAATAAGATAAGAAGACCTTGTATGTAGATCAAAGTATAGTATTTTAAACCTCATATCATAAAAACAGACTTACTTCATACAGCTTTTGGTAGTCCAACCTTTCCACATTTCTTTTCCCAGAAGCCAGAGTCAAATCTTCTTCACCGAGATCTGGCTCCACTAAAGATGACAGTTCGTCAGCTAGAGATGGCTTCTTGCGGTTTTGTTTATTGGAACCTTTGTTCTTAACATTATCCAACAATGCAGATGTGACATCACCATCTTGTTCAACGGACATGTTATCCTTAATTGTAGCAGCAAGATCCTCAGAGTCAGACGTGAAATCAGAGTTTGAACTTTCTTCAGTGGCTTTACCACCAAGATTTGGAGCATCAGGATCATAATCATCATCATCTGAATCTTCAGAAGGAAGACCCATGTATTGATCCTCATGACCCGTCTCCTCTAATTTCTCAGAAGCAGAAACATACTCAGATTCGTCAGAACTAGATTCACCTCCTTCAACCTCCACATCCTCTGGACCATTAGGATTATAATCATCGTCATCAGAATCGTCTGAAGGAAGTCCCAGGTTGTTATCCAAGATACTTCCAGCAGCTGTAGCTGCTTCGGGGAAAACCCTCTGAACAAGGATCGGTCACATAATCAGGAGGGCAAAGATCCAAATAAGTATAATGACTTCTTTATTATATTTTGATTTTCTTTTTAACTGTTAAAAAAAATATAGTTATGAAAACCTGTTTTTAAAACAAGTATTATTTGTTTTGATTTTTTAGTTTCAAAAACAAGAGAATCAAAAATTTGTTTCGAAAAACAGTTTTACAAAACAAGTTAACCAAACAATGCTTTCAGTTTTTGAAATTTTTAAAAAACCTAAAAACCAGGTTTGAGAAGGGATCAAATAGGCTTCGAATTTTTCAACTGACCTCCCAAGTGTCAGTAAGAGAGAGACTTGTCCCTAACAAGTCATTAACAATATCGATGCAGTCATCTTTGCAATCACATCCTGGGCATAACCAACCCTCGTCGCCAGGTGGAACTGTAAGCCACATACGAAAATACATAAATGATAAATAACTTCAAAGCATAAAATGATCAATTAATCAGGTGGATCAGATATTACTGTCTTCAGTTAACAACGGAGGATCCAAACAGAGCTGGTGATATCCACGGTCACAAGCACCATCACAAAGAATTATATCATTATTAGTGCCCAGCACTTTGGTCTGGCACTTTGCACAGAATATCTGCAACAAAAAAATTGAAACTGTCACAACTCCAAAATCCTGGGAAGCTGGAAGCTTCATTAAATGAATATAAAGGAATAGCCTACATCCTCACTATCAATCTCCCCCTCGGAATCAAACAATGATTCAGGAAGCTTTCCTTCAGCACACAATGAATCCAAATTTTGAAATAGATCCCTAATTTTTAATTTACGTCGAAGAATTTCAGACTTAGCCCGTTGAATCTCCTTCTCGGGCTTTAATTTTTCCAAACTGCAAAATTACCACAATCATCAGTAGAAACAAATTATCTACCACAAAAACAAACAAAAATGAAACAATCTATGAAATTGGCTATATCATAAAATAACTGGCAAAGAAAGAATGGTCAAATATCATTGAACTCATCAGCTTTAAACAAAGAATATGCTCAAAAATGACAATAAAACAAAGGGAAATATTGGATCATTATATCAGTACTGAAATAGAAAACTTACTAATGCTTAAATGCAGCATAGAAACTGCAGATGGATCAATGCATGTATATAGTTTCAAAAATTTTAGAGTAAAACAAATTAGTTGAATGACACAAATAAAATGTGTCACTAAAACTGCATGTGGATCAAAGGTTGATGTACATAATTTCTAAAATATCAGACTGAAAAAGAATTAGTTGAAAAAGCAACACAAATAAGATGTGGAATACATGGGATAAGCTTGGAACAACTGAGGTGCTAGGTCAATTGTTTAAATCCTGTAGTACAGCCAGGGTACTACAAAACAAATTTTCCCTTATGCCAATTAGGTAAAACGGGCCTTCTCAAATCTAAACCAAACTGTCTCTGAATATATAGAATAAGGATTTTTATGATGGCATCTCAAAACCAGGACAAGAAAGCCCCAGGGGGCAGAATATTGCAGATGTAGTTCCATTTCAGTTGCCCGGCAATTAATCAGTAGAAATAATATTAGCATTATCATATTGACGCTAAGATCAAACATATATCAGAATGCAAATCCAAATATAAATTACAAGTAAATCAAATCACAGGGTAATGATACAATTAACACACCTGCTTCCTTTCCAGCCCTCACCAGAATAAGCATCGATCAAGTTCTGCTCGTAGCCCATTCGGTTTAAATAATATCTCAATTGAGCTCTGATTCTAGAAAATTGATCATTAATTCCCTCTTTTCTTGCCTTTTTCTTTTTCTTCTTCTCTTTTTTTGTCTTTGTTTCATCATTGTTAACATCAACAACATTGTTAATTGGTTCAGGAGCTTTAGGTTTATTATCTCTTGACCGCAGAGCCCTATCACTTCCCAACGACCTCAATATATACTTCTTCTTCTTCGGTGGTTTGGAGTTAGTTTTACCCACGTGTCTCGATCTTGAACGAGCTAAGCTTTTAGACTTTCCTTCTGAACAATCAGAGCTAACATTTTTAGCAACATCTCCAGAAGGTGGATTCAGTACCTCATTCAAAGAATCTGCATCCACTTGAGCAAGAACGGATTGTGTTTGGTCTTCAACAGGGCCAGTTACTGTACCACTCGTTTCACCAGGCTCATTTGGAAGACTAATATCTTTCACAGCATCTCCAGAAGGTGGATCCGATGGCTTATTCGCAGAATCTGAGTTCACTTGAGCAGGATCAGGTTGTGTTTGTTCTTCAACAAGGGAAGTTACTGCATCACTCATTTCACCGGGCTCATTTGGAAGACTACTATCTTTCACACCATCTCCAGTAGGTGGATCCGATGGTTTATTCGCAGAATCCAAGTTCACTTGAGCAGGAACGGGTTGTGTTTGTTCTTCAACAACAAGGGAAGTTACTGCAACACTCGTTTCATCAGACTCATTTGGAAGACTAATATCTTTCACACCATCTCCAGAAGGTGGATTCGATGGCTTATTCGCATAATCCGAGTTCACTTGAGCAGGAACCGGTTGTGTTTGTTCTTCAACAACAAGGGACGTTACTGCATCACTCATTTCACCAGGCTCATTTGGAAGACTAATATTTTTCACCCCATCTCCAGTAAGTGGATCCGATGGCTTATTCGCAGATTTCAAGTTCACTTGAGCAAGAACAGGCTGTGTTTGTTCTTCAACAACAGGAGAAGTTACTACATCAGTCTTTTCCCCAGGTTTATTTTGAACATCTTGAACACATTTGTTTTCCGATTTGTCATCAGATAAGCAAACAGGGATTTGCTCAGAGGGTTCAGGCAGTTGAATAACAGAGCTCTCAGTCATATTCACCAAAACTTGATTTGATTTTTCATCAATAGCAGAATCGGTTGCCACGGTACCAAGTACTCTCTGTTCGTTTTCTAAACACTCAGAACCGATCTGAACTGTTTTTTCATCAATAACAGAACCATCCGACCCAATCTGAACTGTTTTTTCATCAATAACAGAATCGGTTACCACAGTACCAAGTACTCTCTGTTCACTGTCTAAACACTCAGAACCAATCCGAACTGTTTTTTCATCAACAACAGAATCGGTTACCACGGTACCAAGTACTCTCTGTTCGTTGTCTAAACACTCAGAGCCAATCTGAGTTGTTTTTTCAGACAAATCACATTGTTGAGTTCCCATCTTGTCAGCAGTTTGAACCTCAGAAAGCTTGTCAAATTTCACCTACAAATCACAATCATTATGCCTTGTCAAATGTTGAACTAGTCATTGGTAGAAGAAAAGACACATCACCACAGCACCACCACCACCATAGCTAGAAAACAAGTATAAGAACTACAAAGAACACAACCAATATCTCTGACTTTTTACACTTTCATACTTAACAATATTACATACATATACACATACATACATATAAACATACATACATATACACATACATATATATATATATATAAACATACATACATACATATATATATACATACATATATACATACATACATACATACATATGAACTGCTGAACAAAGATGAGAATGTGAAGAATAAAGCTCACCAGATGAAACTGCCTTTACCCACTATGGACTTGGCACTCGCAAACTCCACTACAAATATACACCAATGAAGCAAGTTGTTGCTTGAATTCAACTTTTAAAAAATGAAAAAAGAAACATCCAATAACAGAGTTAGGGGTATAGAACTTGACAGTTAAAAACACCAAATCAACAAACGAGTTGCAGTTACAGAAATTATTTAAAAATCCCATTTTCAAGAGGCTAAGTTAATTCCTAAACTTGAATAGCAATACCGGTAACCAACAAGAGCAAAAAGATAAAAGATTTAAGCAACAAGAGAAGCAGAAACGGTAGATTTGAAAAGCTTACGGTGTTGTAGTGAGTGGCATAGTAATCTCCGCGGGAAATGAGAGAGACGAAGCGAGGAAGACGAAGATGCAGGAAAAGGGGGGAAAGTTCGATCTAATGTGAAACGGAGAGAGAGAGAGAGAGAGAGAGAGAGAGAGAGAGAGAGAGAGAGAGAGTTGAGTTGTATTTGCGTTTGTGAGAGAGTTCCCTTTTCGGAATCTCAGCGCCAATGCGAGAAAAAAGCGGTGCTTCTATACTGCTCCTGTAAATCTGGGCCACCGTTCTTGTTTAAGATAGGGCTTGTGTTGCATTCAGATTCAGTAGGGTTTAATTATGTTACAAAACTGTTATCCACACCCGTCATATGTTACAAAACTGTTATCCACACCCTTCATATGTTACAAGTCATTTATTTACTAAAAATATTAATACCTATTTTTTTATGAAAAAATATTTAGACCAAATTCTCATTTCAAGTCATTTATTTATTAAAAATATCTTTTGAATTTTTAACAAATATATGTGACTATAAACATTATTTTTTTTTAAATTCTCTTTTAATTTTTTTTATGTAACTACAAATATTATTTTTAAAAAAATCTCTTTTAATATATGTGGAATATATCATATGAGAATGTATTTTTATGTGAAAACATGAGAATGAATCTGAACCATTAAATTTTAAAATAAATTATGGAGATTATGTGTGATTATTTTTTTTCTATGTCATTTTTTGTTTTGTTTTCTCCTCTGTCACTCATTTAATAATGGAGGAGAAAAAAAAAATAACCACACATAATCTCCACAATTTATTTTAAAATCTAATAATTTAAATTTATTATCATGTTCTTATATAAAAATAACATTTATATATATATATATATATATATATATATATATATATATATATATATATATATATATATATATATATATATATATATATATATATATATATATATATATATATATATATATATATATATATTATTACTCTAAAAAAAATATTGATAAAAAACTATAACAAACATATAAAAATCAAATGGAGGAGAGAAAAAAAATAACCACACATAATCTCTACAATTTATTTTAAAATCTAATGATTTAAATTTATTATCATGTTCTCATATAAAATAATATTCTCGTAAGATATATATATATATATATATATATATATATATATATATATATATATATATATATATATATATATATATATATATATATATATATATATATATATATATATATATATATATATATATATATATATATATATATATATATATATATATATATATATATATATATATATATATATATATATTACTCTAAAAAATATTGATAAAAACTATAACAAACAAAGATTTCAATAAATTCTCATAAAAGTGATGCTAGATATTTCATCCTTTTGTTAGAACTTATATTGAATGTTAAATTAAAAAATAATAAAAAAGTTTTTAAAAAAAAAAAAAGATAGAACCTATATTGAATAACATTTCATCAATTTTTTTTATGAAATTTGTTTTTTTATATAACTTTATATAAAGTTAAGATTTATAACAATTAATTTTTTAACTGACTCTAATAAAACTTATATTTTTAAAAATATAAAGTTAAAATTACTTTTTTTTAATCTATATAAAACTTACTCTAAAAATAAAATAATTCAATTCGGAACTACAAAATTTAAAGTTTAAAGATCTCATCAAAATTTAATCGAACTAAAAAAATGATAAAATGTAGTTTTTAATATAAATAATGTATACTATTGTTGGATATATTAAAATATATTCATATTTTTTATATATTTTATGTTAATAAATCTATAAAAGTTGATTTTATATTTATAAAAAATAAGTTAATCTTGATCCAACAAATTTGTTAAAGAAAAATAGTGCTAGTGTTATTTTATGTAAAACTTCTAACAAAAATAAATATCATACTAACATTTAAGCTCACTTGAATATTTATGCAAAATCCGTTTAAAAATAAAAAAAATGTATAAGAATCTATACTAGCATTTAAGCTCACTTGCTATTTCCATAAACAACAAACCATAACCCAGTAAAAAGTATTTTTCCTAAAACATTCATGTAGCGCCGTCGAAAAAAATTGATCATCTCTTTTTTTTTTCTTCTTTATAAGCAAATTTAATTAAGAGAAATATCATGGATTCTTTGTCTATTTTTAAACCATTTTTATCAAATAATGAACATTCACCTTTTAGTTTATATGCATAAAAAAATGCTAACATATTTTTTAAAGATCATGAAGAAAAGAAATTCTTATTCTTCTCCTTCTTAAAAAAATATATTACAAATTTTTCTTATAATTTTAAAAATATTTTTTTTATTTCAAAAACGACTCAATCTCTTAAATTATATGAATCGTTGATTGTTTTTTTTATTTTTTGTCGGTTTTTGGTTTGTATACCAATTTTACATTTGAGAGATTGTTAGTATTATTTAAATTGAATGCAAGTTCGGTTCAACTGGTTGAACCAACTAGTCTAATTTTGATCTTCTTATTTAGAGATATAGGTAACTGGTTAAGTATTTGCTTTAAAAAATGTTGTGAAACAAATTAAAATAGAGGAAGGATAGAATTTAAATGAAATCCTAACCATATAAGTTTTCAAAATTAGATAATAATAAAAAAAAAGTAAGGAAAAAATAATTGGCATAAAAAGATTTCTTATTATAAAAGCAATTTTTCACTCGAAGAATGTTTTAAGGTTTCCTATCGCCCCACTAAATGTTATGGTACCGCCTCACTCGATGTTAGTGATATTTTTATATCCCTTATAGTTGTGGGTCTCATTCTCTATCCTTCGAGTGTCTTAGGACTTCAATTCTCCTTTGCACTAACAAATCTTTTGTCTACCTTCATGACTTTCATGAATGTGAAAGCAATGGATCAGGAAAATCGTATTTACATCACAATAAAAACTAAGAGTATACCAACTATAACACTGGAAATTAGAAGCAAAACTTTCAGCAACAAGTTAATGGTTTTCTTCTATGTGGCAACAATGGTGTACAAAAAGATCTTAAGTGGTTGAGTAGTTGCATAATAGGGAAAACCATATTGAATAAATCAATCTACAAAAACACCTTAATCATGGATTTCAAGCATATGGTGCACTTTGGTTGGACAAAAGATAGTGCATGCTAAAGGAGACATATTGTAGATAACCATGTAATAAGTGAAAGACTACAAGTGTACTCTTAATGGTAATCCCCGTATATTTTGCAATTGTGAGCCTGTGGTTAAGCTTTTATACAAAGACAGTCTTTTAAAGGGAGCTAATTTCAAGTATATCTCCATTTAGGTTCAAATTTGGCACGCACCTTTGAGTTTAAACTAAATAGATAGTGTTGCAGTGGAAATAGGATATCAAACTATTAATTAGTCTGAATCACAATTCAATTCACAACCGCTCTTTGATTTATCCGAAGGAAAAGGTCAAAAGAGGGAAAACCTATTTTTGCATCGTAAACACAATGCGAGGAGAGACCTAGGTAAGGGGTTGGTTAAGCTTAGGGAAGGTGCTAGCACCCTAAACTTATGTAGTACTCTACAAAAACCTTTTGCTTATTTTTACTATTTTATTTTATTATTTGCTTAAGGAATATAATAAGCTAGGGGATAGAGTGACCTATAAAGACCTAATGGGTCAGTCATAAGTTTACTCGGCAAGATGTTGCATCTTATGCCTACATATCCTGACGGGAATGGAATCAGAGTAATTGTAGTTCCCCTCGAAAGGGAGGTTAGAAACGGCTTGACGGTGGTCAAGGTTTCAAGGGGAATAAGTGTATCTTAAGGACATGCTTACGTGGAGTCTTGAAACTCCTATTTCTAAGTTGAATTAGTTAATTGAAAATTAGGGTTAAATTAGGTGTTCCACGGCGAGAAACCCTAAAACAGAGTACGACGACTCTTTGACTTAATGCTAGGGTAAAGGGTATTTTCGTCCACGGCGGGACACCTAAGCTATTAGGATTTTAGAAACGGTCAAGGGTTAGGGTTATTGACTCGGCGGTCAAACAACTAGACCTAATCCTTCGGAAGGGCTAACAGGAAAAACAAGCAAAATATGACAAATTATTATACGACAAAATTAAAGTGCGGAAAGTAAAGGAAGTGATTAAGAAAGCGTCGCGACGATCACTCGCGTAAATTACAAATCCCAAAAAAAAATGCGAAAATGAAAATAACCGCGATCATGACCTCACATAAATTACATCCATGAAAAAGCTACAGAAACCAAAAGGATTACTAGTCGGAGCCAAACGAGAGACTAGATAAA